CAAAACTGCACAATTGTAATACTTGAGGGATAAAAAATGCAATTAAACCAATATTCTTTATTAATTTTATTAAAAAATATAATAATTTTGAAAAATATTTTTTTATAGTAAAAATTTTAAAATTACTTATTTTTATAAAATACAATTGTCTTATAAATAGAGTAATAATTTTTTCTTTTTCTCTTTCTGTTTGAAGAAATACTTAAGTATCACTTTATAATTTTTTGCAACTTATTTAAAATTAGAGGAATAAAATGATAAAAATTAATAAGATAAACATAATAAAATAAAATATATAAAAAATATTAATATATTTATTTTATTAGATATAATAACATAGTTAAAATATAATTAATAATATATATTTTATAAAATTATTAATATTTTATATATAAAAAAATAAAATAAAACTGGAACGGGCCGTTCTGGTGCATTTTGGGTGTGTTAATTTTGCACTTGGAACGGGTCGTTCCGGATGCAAATTTAACACACCAAAAATGGATCCAAAACGGCCCGTTCCGGTTTCAGAATGGGCCGTTCTGGGTCCAGGTGTTTTCAAAAAAATTCTCATCCACGTGGATGCCACGTATGCATCTACGTGGCGTCCACGTGGCCAAAAAGTTAACACCGTTAAAGCAATTTGGACGGAAAGTCCCACTTTGAAACCAATTAATTAATTTAGGACTAAATTGAAACCAATTAATTAGTTTGGGACCAAATTGAGACCAAAAATTAATGAGAGACTAAATTGAAACAAAAAAAAATTATAAAGGACCAAAATAGGGTTTTAACCTAAATAAAAACTTTGTATTTTCTCCATTAATATTCACGGTCTAATCAGATAATAATTTATTATTTGATAATTTTAGGAACATTGATTATTAAAAAGTTAAAAATGGTATATCAAACGCTATAAATGATCGTTGTATTAGAAGCATAACAAAATCTTTATTTCCTAATATTTATGTTTATTCTTTAACAAATAATTTATGCACAAGCACCTTAACCTGTTGTCTTAGCAAACACTAAATAAAAACTTTATAATTTCCACCCTTTAACCTATACACTTGATGCATACAATAATTAGTTGACGGTCTACTTGGATAATTTAATCTTTCGTAATTTTCAAACTACAAAAATATTAGATGTAAATTACCATTTGGTTAGTAACAAAACCAATTCCACGAGCTAATATTTTTCCTGATTTTCATCAATCTAGAAGAAATGATGACGAAGGTTGGAAAACTGAAGATAAGCCCAAAAACAAAAACAAAAAATGACGAGGAAAAGTGAAGAGAAGGCCAACAAAAAGAAACAAAAACCAACGAAAAGACAATAGGTTCGGTTCCGAAGCTGCTAATGACCGTTGCACCGTACCTAGAGTTTAAAATTGCCCGAAACACAACAGAATCGCAATCACAATCATTTTCACCATTCTCTCTCCGATCCAACAGCGATGGTGTCGAAGGTGAAGAGAGGCCCAGTCAAGTCCATCAAGGACATCCGCACCAACAACAACCGCCGCTGGCGCCGGAAATCCCCCGTAACCAATGTGGTCGCGGCCTCCTCCGCCGCGCTGGCCACCATCCGCCGCCGCATCACGAAGCTCTTCTCCAAGATCACGCGCCTCAGCACCACCCACAAGAGAACCTCCTACAAGATCCTCAAAAAGACAGCGACCACCGACGACCTCGACGCCGTTCGCCGGACCCTCGTGTTCGACGGCGGCGACGCCCCGCTCCTCCCCCCCTCCCTCTCCCTCCGCCGCACCGTCTTCCTGGACCTCGACGAGACCCTGGTCCACTCCCAGCTCTCGCCGGCGCCGGAGCGCTTCGACTTCATCGTCCGGCCGGTGATCGACGGCGTGCCCATGGACTTCTACGTCCTGAAGCGCCCCGGCGTCGACGAGTTCCTGGAGTCCCTGGCCGCCAAGTACGAGGTTGTCGTTTTCACGGCGGCGCTGAAGGAATACGCCTCCATGGTGCTGGACCGGCTCGACTGGAAGCGGTTCATCTCGCACCGGCTTTATCGTGACTCGTGCCGCAACGTCGACGGGAAGCTGGTGAAGGACTTGTCGGAAATGGGCCGCGACCTGACCCGGGTGGTGATCGTGGACGACAACCCGAATTCTTTTTCCCGCCAACCCGAGAACGCCATTCTTATTCGGCCCTTCGTCGACGACGTCTTCGACCGCGAGCTTTGGAAATTGAGAAACTTTTTTGATGGGTCCGATTGCTGCCATGATATGAGAGATGCTGTTAAGCACTATTTCACTCTGCAACACCCACGCTAGCTAGTTGAACAATTATTTACTTGTTCAATCTATGTCTCTTAATTATTCTTTACTTTTCATCTCTTTGTTTGTTGGAGTTGCAAAATGTACCACACTTGCATTATTCACACATCATCATCTTGTTAACTTCTAAAGTCGCACCAAATAATTCGTTTATCATTTCAACACTAAATTAACGTACCAGATGGCGGGTTGTTGGAGATTAATTTTGTGCGTGCTACCTCAAGTACTTTCCAATTAAATGATAAACTGAACCCTGTTTCGTTCCGAGGGAAAAATATTTGAAATTCAAATTAAAGATAAAATGAAAGAAAAAGATAAGTAGATTGAGCTTTTGTTTATAAAAGAAAATATATTGTTTTATGTATTTTTTTTTTCTCTTTTCTCTTTTCGTTTCCTCGTCCAAACTTACTACTGTAAGGGTACACGTTGAAATTCACCCTACGAACTCACTCTTGAGACAATTTTTCCCCTTTGTGTTTTATTTGCACCTGTTTGAGATTCGGTAATGGATTGCACAATACTTTCGCACACTCGTTATAACAGAAAGAACAATAAGATCGAAAGATCTTTCAAGCTGGATCAGCTACCATTTTAAGGCATCATTTTGGCATAATAACATCATAGTGCTGCTGGAGTATGTTTTAAAGTACATTTAAGGGGCTTATAAGTTTTTTTTTTTAATTAGTTTAAGTAAAATAAAATCATACAATCTTGTTTTGTATGAAAATTTATCTGACTTTGTTTTAAGAGTTTATAACTTACTTAATAAGATAAATGAAGTAATTTATAAATTTTTAATTTTTTTATTCTTATTAATTGATTTAAGTCATTTTACATTTATTAACTAATTTTATCAAATACTTTCAATTCAATCAATTAATTTTTAACCTTTTAAATTTTCAACTTAAAGTTTATAAGCCTTCGGTTAACTTATTAGCTAATTTTACTAGATACAACTCTAGAGTGTGTTTGACAAATTATTAAAAAAAATATAAACTAGTAAAAGTTTAACTAATTTATAAATTAGTTGGACTAATAAATTTGTTTGGTGCCTCAATTTAATTTAGTAACTTCTACTTTATTTTTATAAAGTACTTGAAGTGTAACTTCTAAAAATAAGTTAGTTTATAAGCAATTAACTCTTTTTTTTTCCACTTTTATTCTTATTAATTTATTTGAAGTGAGTTTTTTTTACTCAAATAATACTATTTTAAAAAATATTTACTAAATAGCAACTGTGTAAATTTATTTCCCAGATTAGCACTATTTATTGTTCACGTTCCAGAACGGGCCGTTCCTGATTAAAAAATAACACATGACAAATGGATCAGAACGGACCATTCCGGATTCAAAAAATGCACATAAAAAGTGGAACCAGAATGGGCAGTTCTGAATTCGGAACAGGCCGTTCTAGCCTACAGATTCATGCTTTTTTTTTTTGGATTTTCACTTATCAAATACCAAAACTCAGAGACTACCATCAAGTGATTAAATTTATGGAATATTAACATTGTAAATATAACTAAATAAATTTATTAAAATTCAATACAACAATAAAAGATCAATGGTGGTAGAAACTAATTATGTTGTTTTGTAATGTCCATATCTATTTTAATCCTGCTGGACTTTAGCCACCCTTGAAAGTTCTCTGAATTCTGGATTTGGCCACAAAGTTGGACCAGTGTAAGTAGGCCAACAATCTTCATGTCGAAGCTCTCCAAACTGTCTTTCGTATACTTTTGCAACTTATTGTTATATATGAGAGATATGTAAGTTTGATAATCGTGATGTGCATGTAAGCATGAAGCGAGTACATGCGAGCAAGGGATATGAACTTTTTGGACTTGCCGTAATCACACCACATTACATTTAGCCTTACTATAAATCTCCAGCGAGTCATGCGAGCAAGGGATATGAACTTTCTGAAACTTGCTGCAATCATACCACATTTCATTTAGCCTTATTGTAAATTTTTCAGCGGGTCAAACTTCTCTCGGATGTTGCGTTTCTTCCAACTTTGTGACCAAATCAAGAATGCAAAAGAACTTTCAAGGGTCGGCCAAAGTCCTGCAGGATTAGAACAGAGATGGACATTAGAAAACAACATAATCGTGTAAAAAATTGTTCCTATTGTCACACTCCTGGTCATGCCTTATTGTAAATCTCCCAGCGGGTCATGCGAGTAAGGGATATGAACTTTCTGAAACTTGCTGCAATCATACCACATTTCATTTAGCCTTATTGTAAATTTCTCAGCGGGTCAAACTTTTCTCATATGTTGTGTTTCTTCTAACTTTGTGGCCAAATCTAGAACGCAAAAGAACTTTTAAGGGTCGGTCAAAGTCTAGCAGGATTAGAATAGAGATGGACATTAGAGAATAACATAATCGTGTAAAAAATTGTTCTTATTGTCACCCTCATGGTCACACCATCATTGATCTTTATTGTTGTAATGAATTTTAATAAATTTATTTAGTTATATTTATAATGTAAATATTCAATAAATTTAATCACTTGATGGTAGTCTCTGAGTTTTGGTATTTGATAAGTGAAAATCAGGGGAAAAAAAGAAGCATAAATCTTTAGGCCAGAACGGCCCGTTCCGGATTTAGAACGGCCCGTTCCGGATTTAGAACAGCCCGTTCTGGTTCTACTTTTTATGTGCATTTTTTGAATCCGAAATAATCCGTTCTGATCCATTCGTCATGTGTTATTTTTTTAATCTGGAACGGCCCGTTCTGGAACGTGAACAGTAAAAAGTGCTAGTTGGAAAAATAAATTTGCACGGTTGCTATTTGGATAAATATTTTTTAAAATAGTATTATTTGAGTAAAAAACTCATTTGAAGTCTCTTTTATCTTATTTAATAAAATGTTATTTTATATCATTTAATATTTATCAATTAATTTTTTTAAATACTTTCAATTCAATTAGTTAACTTATAATTTTTTTTTATATTTTAAATAATAACTTATAAACATTTGTCTAACTTACAAGTTATTTTTACCAAATACACACCATGACATTTAAGAAATTTATAAACTAGTTTAACCAAAATAAGTTTATTTAAGACATGAATTTATATTATTAACTTTTAACTTATTTTCATAAGCTACTTCAAATTACTAACTTTTTTTTTTATTTTTAAATAATCTCATTAATTTATTTGAAATGTCTTTTTTATCTCAAATAATAAAATACATCTTTTTATGTCATTTTACATTTATCAACTAGTTTATTAATTGGTTTTACTGAACACCTTTTATTTAATTAGTTAACTTAAACTTATTAGTTTTTAGCTTTTAGTCCCAGCTTTAAGGCATATAAATTTATAAGAGCATGTATAGTAAAACTAGCTTAAAAGTTACTTAAAACCTTAAAATTTAATTGATTAAATTGAAAATGTAAAGATTAACCACATTACAAATTACAAATCGGAAGGAAGAAACACTAAAGCTTTGAGCATTAATAATAGTATGAAAGTTGGTCTTTAAAGGTAAACTACATCTTTTCTGCTTATCAGTATATTTGAAGAATTGTAGTTTCTTGTAGCATGGATACTTTCACAAGCAACTTTAGATAATCAATTACATGGCAAATCAAACTCACCACCATTTCTTTCCTTTTTCTATAACCTATTTCTTTTTTATTCCCATGTGTATCATCTTTCGAAAGTAATGTTGTTTGAGGCACTATCGGACATGAAATATAAGCATCACATCACATCACATGCATGCAGCTAGGGCGATGAGGCTAACAAAATTTTGGTTTGAAGCCTTCTTCAAAAAAATATTTAATATTAATATTTATATAATTTTTCTAAAATTTTATAATTTAAAAATCACTTTTTACATTTTTAAAAAATCTTTTTCTAAAAGATGTATAAACATAAATATTTTTTAAAGATTCATTTCTAAAATATGTTTATTTATTTTTTATCAAAAAATATTACTATTAATTTAAAAGATCTCACTTTTAAGATTGTTTTTAAATTTAATAATATGTTGGACCGGCTCTCTGCTACTCACCGTAACACTCTATCTATAGAACACGCAGAGCTGACTGAGCTGATCCTCGTCAACATTCACCGACATGGTTTTTCTAACTGCAATGCATGTGAAGAAATTAACATGACACCTCTGTCACAATTTGTAACGTTTTACCCTGCTTAGGTTTGCTATGCTGATCTACTAACTGGTAACTCGAAAAGAATGTTTAGGAAACACTCTAAATTGTTTGCTCTCTAGATAAACAAGCTCAAGCCTTGATGCAACTTATTAGCGAATTCGTAAATACAATGAGATTGAATCAATCAATCAATTAATCTATCAATCTCTCTATATATTGTTTTCATATCAGTTACCTTGCGACAGTAAGGCTCCAGTCATCCTTAAAACAGCTTTAATTTAATTGAATTGAATATTTTAGCACATTTCTCAGTGAATATTAGTCACAATAAAGTACAGTGAAAGTTGCAGCTCCTAGATTAGATAAGCCATTGTTGTCTCCTTTAACTACATTTTTAATGCTATAGATGAGGTAATATATATTCAGTGATAAAGAGCAAGAAGAATTTCCTTGCTCAAGGGAGCACATTAGAATTTTTCCAACAATCATAGTAAGGATTGGAATATATTATGTAGCATCAAAGATTGAACCATTTAAGCGATCTTAGACTGTCTCCCAGATGGCACAAAAATGCAGATTTCAGTCACTGTATATATTGATTAACACAACTGCTTATCATGAAGAAACTTGGTTTTGAAGTTATGATGATTCATTCTGAACTACACAAGGAAATAAAAGACCTGCCTTTTCCTTTTAAAGGTTCTTTCTGCATTGTATATTCGTTATGTTAATCTTGGTCAATCTATCTCAGATTGGACCTATTGAGAGATATTAGACTTAGTTGTCTCCCAGATTGCTTAGAAGTGCAGATTTCGAGCACTGCACATATGGATTAACATAACTCTGTTTTTTGTCGTGAAACTGGCTTTTAAAGTTATGATGATACATTCTCAACAAGGAAATAAAGGTTATTTCTGCATATATATTCCTCATGTCAAGAGTCTTCTATTTTAACAATAAATAGAGTTAAGTGCTTTGCCTTTTACATTCTGTCTGATTCAAAGGAGGAGAGTAGAAGGGTTTTAATGGAGTAGAGGGGAGAGGAAGGGAAGGGAGGGCAAGGAAAGAGTTAGAAATTTTGTTTGATTGAGAGAAGGGAAGGGAGGATAACTTTTTTGTTGTTTGGTTTATAAGGGGAAGAAGATTTTAAAAACCAATTTATCTTTATATCTTTATAATTTTAAATTTAAAAAGATAAGTAAGAATATTCTAGACATTATACTACAAATGTTTTAAAATCCTCTCTTCTCCTCCTCTCCTCTCCAAATCCTTCAATATTAAACCAGAGTTAAAATTAGACTAAGAGAGATTTTGCTCCTCCCCTCCATTACCCTCAAACCAAACACTATGTTATTGTCACCTCCTTCACAGCAATAATAATATCCCAGCCTTTTCCCATTAAGTTGGGTTAGTTACATGGATCAGAGAACGTCATGATATTCCGTCATAAATCATGTCAATAGACAAATTATTGGCCTCCGAATCTTTTTTCATTGTTTCACATATAGTTTTTCTTGGTTTCACTCTGCCTCTAGTGACTGACTAGACTGGGGCTTACCATGACTGCCTCTAGCTTACTCTCCTTAGTGGGGCTTCTACACTACAGATCTTCTCCACACATGCCCAAACCACTTAAGAGGTTCTACGATCTTTTCTACAACAGGTGCTAGCCCAACTCTTTGCCAAGTGCATTCAGTTCGTTTCCTATCTAGTATGTTCATTCATCAAACACAACATTTTTATCTTTGCTGCATTTTTGGCTTTTTACTGTATAACATTCAATTTTATACAACATTGCAGGTCTTATTGTTGTGTGGTAAAGTTTTCCTTTAAACTCGACTGATATCATTTTATCATAAGCGTACTCCATTGTTAATTTAAGTGTTTAAAATATAGGTTACTGAGAACAAGTCTCATGTTGTTGACATTGAGCCATGGTTGTCACTAGAGCGTACATGAGGGCAATGGGTGTTCTGATGCTAGTGACTGGTCAAATGAAGAGCAATGTGGTATTGGAGCATGTACCAAGGAAATGATGTTCTAATGAATTCTTGTCGGCTTCTGATCTATTTTATTCTTTCTAGTTTATGGATCTGTTTTATTGTTCGATTTGTGGACTGATTTTTGGAATCAATCATGGATTCGTGGTTTTTTCATCATCTTTGCTTCAATTTCTATTTAAATTTCTTCTTGTATTTCATTTTTCTAGTTGCTGCTATGGTTGATTTCCCAACATGCATTGACGGGCCAATTTTACTTTATTTTATTTTTCTGATATCAACCATTGATTCTGCAATAAGTAGTTCCTTATTTCAGATGCTAACTCACACTGTTTGGAAATGCAATTGTGTTTAGGAATGATAGCTTAACAGAAGAAATAAATTAAGCAACCCATTAGATATGTGCTTCCTCCTTCCATATAGGGATGACATACCACCGTCTCTATATCCATGTTTTCAGAAAGTATCTATCCTTGGAAGTTGGAACCATACCTACTTGCTACTTCGGTAGAAACTTTCGTGCTCATCTCAGTATCTTAAATATCCATACCCAAACCAATTAAATGCAAATTTGTTAAACAAAGTTATTATTTTGTATCCTAATTATTATAAAGATGAAATTGCTAGATGACAAACCAATGATGCTCATTGCCTTTGTTCACCATCTTACCTGTGGCTATTTGTTTCTCTTTGACTGTGTTGTACCATGTATAATGCTCAAACCTGACATCAGTGACATGTTCTCTCTCTCTCTCTATATATATATATCCATTTGGTTTTTTGACATTTCCAGGCTGTTTCTTGGCATTGATTGTTGCGGTTAAAGCTGGATTGTTATTTTGATTATTGTATGAATCTTATAGCATATTGTTTGAATCTTTTCCCATGGTAGTATATCAATGGGGAAGGCTGTTTCAAGGTGTTTTTGGCTTCACCAGCCTCGGTCCTAGAAGTTTTCTGGTCGTGTTAGTCTTTAGTTCTAGACACAATCTGGCCTTGTCTTCTCCATTTGCAGTTATTGTCATCTGCCACTCCATTAACCCTTGTCTCAAATGCAGCCTAGTCCCGCTAGTCCCTAATCCTAGCCGGTCCATCTCCATTCCCAGATTACACTCCCAAGTTTTTTAATCTCTTCATATTTTTATTGCTGTTTGAAGCTTCCAAATATTGTTTTAGGGTATCTTAAATGATCTCTAAGAATGGTTTCCTTATTTTTCATTTCATAATTTGTTCCCTAATTTAATTATAGGAGTATGTCATTAGTATGTATAAAGCTTAGTGCTTTATCTTGTGTATCTCATCTTCACATCAACATCAACATGATTTTGTTATTATTAGTACATGAAATGAAAAATTGATGAATATTAAGGTCAATTTGATAAAGCTTTTGCAATGTCAGTAGCTCGCCAAAAAAAACATCAGGTCGAAAGACAAAAATTACACAGCAAAAGAACAAACGTATTCATCTCCTTCTATCTCTCTCTATCCTAATTAAACACGATTCCAAGCCGACAAATCATAAATTGAAAATCAACAAAACAGCAACAATTACGATTACAACACCACCCTCTATGAACTCATGATTTCATACAAGGTGAGATAGTAAAAGCAAAAGTTCCCCAAAAATTGCTCTTTTGGGTGGCACAGATCCCAATGAGAGGAGAGCAAAAGAGAATGGATCTCACCGGATGAAGGCGCAAGAGTAAACCTGATGGGGCAACCTGGAGGCCTCAGATTTGGTGAAGCACATGTCATCAAGGTCCTCACTTGAGCACCAGCTACACTTTGAGTTCTGAGAGCACTGAGACTGCACCACCAACTCTCCACAGTTGTTGGGGTGGTGAGTGGCCCTTGACTCAAACAGCTTCCGAGTTGAACCATCCTCAGCAATTCTACCGCCGTATCTGGAGACCACGTAAGAGGGTTCACAGAGAGAAGCGTAGAGGAGAAGAAGAAGAAGAAGAAGGATTGGCAATAGTTGATTGGGGATGAAGAGAGAGAACGCCATGGAAGTTGGTAAAGCTCTCAGGTCTCAAGTCTCAACACACACATACAGAACAGTGATAATAAAGAAAGGACAGGAAAAGCTTCATTTTCTTTCTCTATTTGATTAAAACGTTACTTCCAAAAACAAAAATGCTTAGTGCGTTTTTCTAACTCTCCCGGTAAATAATTGTCGTCTTTTTTTTACGTTACCGGTAAATGCGTTAAGAACAAGAAACGTTGTTTTAATACAATAAAAACCATACATTCCATGTAGCGACGTCGTAGCTGTTTTTCTTAAGAAAACAACATCTACAACTACAACATTAAGCATTAATAAAAGAATATCTTATTTTAGTGTTTATAATTTATTTATTTTTTACTCTTTTACCTTTTAATCAATTTGTTTAACCATTTCATTATTTTAAAATTAATTACACATTTTTTTTATTTTGATTTTATTTTTTTTATAACGAGACACAGAATATCTCACCTTTCATTAGTAATATAATTCATAAAATAAGTAGAGATATAAATGCTAAAATGTAAAAATTTAATTAATTAATTTAATATCGAGCAATTTAAACCATTGATTAATATTTGAATAAAAACATGCACCAATCCACCCCTTATACAAAAATGTTTTTAAGGATTATTTTCAATCAAACGTTTTAATATTTTATTTTATTTATATGTTTACTTATGAATTAATTTTATATTTCAAAAAAAATATTAATATTTAAAAATAATTTTATGTTGTAATATAAATTATTTATTTTAAATGTAAAATATAATTTATATGTTTTAAAATATTTATTTTATATAAATTTTAAATATAAATCATATATTCAAATATAATATTTATTTTTATATATAATTTATTATAATTTTTAATTATATAATAAATATTTAGTTTGTAAAATAAATTTATTGTGATTTATATTAACTACTTTAAAAATCACAATAAGAATATTTTTTTTATTAATTAACGATATGAAAGCTTATGTTACCAATGTGTGTCTATTAAACTCTTGATATTTTTATTGTAAAAATAATTCTGTGTGGATTCTTTTAAAAATTTTAAATTACATGATTGTTACATATGAGGTTAGAAGCTAAATATGTTAGAATGATTATTCCGATCCAAAGAGTTTTACCAACTCAAGTTGTGTGTATAAAGTTGTTTAAGAGCAAAATTCTCAAGATATGATTATGATAAATATATCGAATATTAATCCAAATTGAAATCATCTTATTATTATATTAAGACAAGTAAATTATCCTTAAGATACTACAAAATTCATAATAGATAATTCAATTCAATTTAAATTTCTATAAATATAGCTAACATTATTATAGCAGGTAAACATTTAATACATATCATAATTCCAACAAAACAATTATTGCTCAAGTCAATAAAAATAATAGATTAAAACCTTTATTTGGTCCTTTATAATATTTTTTTTGTTTCAATTTAGTTACACTTTAATTTTTAGTTTTAATTTGGTCCTCAATAATTTAAATTATTGTAATTTAAGACTTCCGTTCAAATGATTTAAACAGAGTTAATTATTAGCTACGTGGATGCCAGGTGGATATCACGTAGATATACATACGTGGCTGCCAAATTTCCAGAATACACATGGAATCAGAACGGCCTGTTCTGAAACCAGAACGGTCCGTTCTGCTTGTACATGTTATGTGTTAATTTTACAAACGGAACATATCGTTTCAAATGCACATTTAATATACCATGAGTGCACTAGAACGGCCCGTTCTGGTTTTAGAACGGGTTGTTCTGGATTCAGAACGGTCCATTCCAGAACGCCAACTTCGTTTTCCAAGATGCGATTAAAAATTGAAATTAAAAATTCAAACATATCATAAATTCAAAGACAGAAACATGGTTCAGAAACTGAAAACAAAAATTCAGAACATAACATATACTAAAAAAGTTCAAAGAAATTACTGAAAAATGAAATTATCTGGATAACGTTGAAGGGAAACTCTAAACCACAAAAATTCAGGTTGTACCTCCTCAAGAACATGTTATTGTTGGAGTACATCGTCAATGACTACAAGAGGAAACACCGTTTTGTTTCATCCTTGACTGTATAGTGTCAATTTGGTAGTAAGTGATTCACTCTAGTTTGACTAACAATGAAATAAAACCTGCTATCATTGTCCTCAGTGATACACTACATCTTCCTTAATGATACACTGTATAGCCCAAATGTTTAACAATTGAAGTTATCAATCCTCATTGACAATATTACCAAATCTAGTGTTTGAAATGTTTTGTACCTTAGGTCTTTCTCCGTGCACGATTACAACCATGAACTATAATTATCGACCATTCTGGAACCAGAACGGGCCATTCTGGTTTCAGAATGGGCCGTTCTAATTCTAGGTGTATTCAATAAATTTGGCATCATCTACGTGGTATCTACGTGGCATCCACCTGGCATCTACGTGGCCAACAGTTAACTCCGTTTAAATCATTTAGACGAAAGTCCCAAATTGCAATAATTTAAATTATTGGAAACTAAATTGAAACTAAAAATTAAAGTGGGACTAAATTGAAACACAAAAATATTATCAAGAACCAAATAAGGGTTTTAACCAAAATAATATCAAGACAACATATTTAAAGTCTCAAATTCGAATTATGTTGTTATTATATAGATAAAAGAAATTTTACTTACTTAAGTTTTTAGAAAGTGTGTTTTACATATATTAATTCATTATTTACATAATTTCAAATGTGTTGACAAATTTTAGTATTGTTTAGAGATCTCAACCACCATTAAAGTATATTTCAATTAACTTTAACAAAATTCAATGAAATCAAACATACCAAAAATAGAAATAAACACAATCATTTTTTTTTCAAATTATATATATCGTATCTTTCTATGATGAGCATTTTTGTAACGCCGGATTCTAACGCCCAATTTATATAATAATAATTATATATTTTTTATATAATATTTTCGCAAATATATCGTTAACAATATTTTTTTTATGGATAAAGATAAAGAAACAGAATATTTTGTGAATTTAATACATAACATAAGTATTTATAATAATGTATTATTATACACAATACTTCTTTCTTTCACTTCTATTACAAACTTTACATTGATAATAGAAATAAATTTACAATAACACTTATAATAGATTCATCAAATAGCCTCCACATTCCAATTTCTTCCAAGAAAGACAACAGCTATAATCACTGTAAAATGCTCTGGAATCCCAAGTAGATCCATCTATTTTATAATATATTTAATTTAAAAAAAAAAAGAAAAGAGAGGAGTAAGAACAATATCCAATAAATACAATAATTCAAAAGAATATAAAGAATTATTTATAATCAATATTAAACATATATATATATATATATAATATATATAAAGATCATATATTAGATTTTCATGATACAATAAAATTTGAATTATACTTGTAGTGACTAGTCAGGATAAATGAGCATCATCATAACACCAACCAAAAAAAGGATATTTCACCTTAATCAACAATAGGATATTTCACCTTCATTTCTTACTCATTTAAATCCCCAAGGTCAAACCTCCAGCTACAAATAATTCAAACTTTATCTTCTATGGCCATAGAGTAATATTTATCTTCATAAATACGTGAAGAAATAACAACAACGAGTCCAAGATATTACAACTATATCATAGTTGATTATAAATATATTTACAATAAATATATTTACGTAAAAAGAATATATTAAGAATACCAATTATATAAATAAAAATGACAATCATTATAAAATAATTAAATAATATAAAATGTGAACACCTTAATAATTAATATGGATAAAAATAATCAAAGGTTAAGCAAATAAATGAGGTTAGGGACACCTCACTAGATAAATACACATAAAATAAATAAATAAATAAATAAACATAATAATATATAAAATTTTAAAGAGATAAGGTTCTCCTCCCCTTACCTTAGGTTTATCAAGATTTTATTTTTCACTACATTGCTGTTTCTTTCTCTCTTCTTTCTTTTCTCACCGTTCCTGTTTCTCTTCAAATTTTTCCGTTGAGTAAAACGGATGATGTCCACTATTTATAGGCAGTTTGCAAATTTACATTCGTAAGCACTTGCGTAAATTTTGTACGGGGATCATTTATGGGCTGGTAATTTACTGAGTCACGCAAGAATTTTATGATTGTTACTTGTGCAGATTATGCAGTGGCGGTTTTAGATGGGCAGATATGAGACTTATTGACTCCTTGACGTGGCATCTGGATTCTTCTCCGCTAATTGTGCTTGTATATGGATTTATTATACTTGTAATTATCTCTTCTCAGTTTTATTTGTTTTAAAAAAAATATAGGACCATGTAGGATTCAAACCCAGCCCCAAGCACTCGAAGTCCCTAAGCATAAGAAATGAATCCATTGAACCATTTTATTTTACATGTCTATAACATCATGTAAATTTATAATAAATTATTTTTCGTGGATCATATTTATAATGTAATTAGTTAACACACTTTTAATAATGTTGTATCACAAATTTAGAATATTATAATTTTCATATCAACATTTTCTTATTTATTATTCTTCCATTCGGTTTAATAGATTGACAATTTAAAATTTTGACTTACAAAATACCCCATTTCTAACCACGTTAGAAGTATGAAGTGTCTATAAATAAACTAATAACTTAATTGATCCTTTTTATATCATATATGATAGTTTTTCAAATATAAAGTAAAAGTTGACGGAAGGTAAAGTTACTTTATGATATGTTTGGATAAAAAATTTAAAAAATTTAAAGTTCTTGATATTAAATTATTTTAATATCAAATTCTTATTTTATATTAAATATTTAGTATATACATTCAGCCGGTATTCAAAAATCTTACTTTAAGAAAATTAGACACTCGTTATTTAATTATTTATTCATTAATTTTTTTAGTTTACAAAAAATAAAGAAAAAGGCATATATGATTCTTAACTAAAAAAATATTTATCAATATATAGATTTATAGTTAAATGTATTTAATCACTAAAATTATTCACTAGAGTTAATCTAATAATTAGATAAAAAAGATTAAAATAATTAAAAATAAGATTTAGATTCAATTTTAATTACGATCATATTTGTAATTATTTTTATCTTAAAAAAAATGGTATACAAATTTGAAATTATCTGTCTTATTTGTGATTACGAGGTCTCCATTCATACGAGGAATTCCGAGCAGGTTGGGGATGCGTCATTTCTGGTTTTGTCTTCCCCTCTCACCAGTTAATTTTATTTGTCATCTGTTTATATTTTTGTTTTGCTTTTCTCTACCCCTAAATTTAAAACGGTTGACATATATTATTTTTTATATTTATTACATATAATTAAAATTAATAATAAATTTATGATATGTTTTAAAATAAATAGCGCATGTTTAAGTATATAAATTATATTTAAA